GGCATTGCCGGCTGACATCCTTTCTTTACTTATCTTGGCCCTCTGTCCCCACGGCACACAGACACAGACACACAGACACACAGACACACACACACATACACACAGACACACACAGGGCCTTCGTCTTGTTTTTCTTAGACTTACAATTGTACTTTTCAAACTAGTATTTAGTAATGCTTTATTATTGTCCCAGTGGTTGCTTTCCAGTTATAACTGATATAAAGAACATCAGCCCTTTATTTGAGAAATGAAAGCAAAGTATTCTCTCGCATTTCATTGTATGCTTTCTCTTCTCCATGATTCAGTTTTAGTTGATACTGTTATCTTAGTGATCTTTTCTACTGTTAAAGACACTTATAGTCTCCATTTGACAATATGAAAGAAAATTAGCCTTTGGTTTTGTGTTGCACCAACTTAGTTTTTCTCCCTGACTCATTTCCCATTTCCAACCATTTACTTGTCATATTATAACTACATTTTAGGGAACATAAATTTTCCAAAGTGCCTTAGTGCTTTTAATTTCCATTTTTCCTTTAGTCTTTCTTTTCCTGGAAAAGGTATTCACTGCTTACCATTAGCCCTTTAACTGTAATTTACTAGTCATCATTTGGAAATTTGTCCTTTAACTCTTCCCTTATGAAGATTTCATAAGATAACGTAAGGAGCTTTTACATACAGTCCTTAACACTCCGTGGTATTTGGATGTGATGAACTGGGTCCCACCTTTGCCACTTGCTAGTCACAGGACCTTGGCCCAGTGACTGACAGCTTTGCCGTCAGCTTTGCCATCCTCCCCCTGAATGGATGTTGACAGCTGATCTGCCTCCCTGGTCAGGCATGAGAAAAGCCCAGACCTGGGAAAGAGCAGGCCAAGAATAAAGACATCTCAGCTGGGTATGAAATCCTTTGCTCACACATTCCTTAAGTACTTATAAAAATAGATCTATTATGTTTGGACTTTAACTTATTATGGAGAATTCTTGATATTCTTCTCTCTTATCTAACTTGGTAATTTTGACCAGCTTTCAGTAAGTTTAAAATTCAATAAATTTAGCAGGATACATTTCATTGTTGACCATTCTAGGAAAATTTTCCTTGAAATAAATGAGTCTTTTGAATTTGCCAATTTACATTTTATTTTATGGAAACTGAATCAGTCACTTTCCCATCACTGAGACAAAACACCTGACATCTACAGCTTACAGGAGGCAAAGTTATTTTGGCTCTATTTTTTAAGGGGTTCATAGTTGGCTGGCTTCCAGACAAAGAGGGCGTGGTGAAAAGGCCCAGAGCAGAAAGGTGCTCACATCATGGTGCTCAGGAAGCCGAGAGGGTGGGGAGGAGCCTGGGATATGAATATGTATTTCTGTGTCCCAACCCCAGTGACCTGCCTCCTTTGTCCAGGCCCCGCCTCCTCACACCACGTGCACTACTGAGCTCTTCAAGGGATAAATCCACGGTGGGTAGTGGAGCCCACATTATCTAAACATGTGAAACTTCTGCGGACTGTTGTAGATCTGAACCACAGCCTAAACCCTTGATGTATTCTAAGTTTACCAACCTGGTTGTTTTCCAGTATTTTGTTTTCCTTCTTTAGGGACTTCAATGACATGAATTTCTTTTCCCAGTATTTCTAATCAATAAAATTTCCTTAGGTTTTTTGAACTGTTTATTTCCTATAGTTGTATTATTGAATGTGTTTTAATGTCCTTATTGTATTTGGGGCAGTGCCAATTTCTCCTGGTGTTTCCTCTAGCTTTTTAAAAATCATTTGTCTGATAGTTATAATTTTCCATCTATTTCTTTTTAAGATGTTCCAGCTTACAATTCATATTGTTTTGGCATCTTGCCATTTCATCCCTAATTCCAACAGCTTTGCTGTATAGTATTTCTTACAGAGGGGCTCGCCTTATTAAGTATTTTGAAGTTGGTGGCAAAAATATTTTCATTCTTTTCATCTTCTCTATGTCACCATCTTTTTGGCATGAATTTTTCGTTAGTAATGGTACACCTCTCAATCTCCCTTTTAAAGATTTTTCTGTGTGCGATTTTTGTTTCTGTGACTGTTACTCATCTGGAATGAATCAGGTATCCCAGTCAGGTTCTGAAGAAGGTCCTGGTGGTGGTGAGGACCAGGTGACGTCAGTGGCAGAGAGCCTGAAGGCTCTTCCATTTCTGCAAAGCCAAGGGGCTTCCTGCAAGTGTGTGGATCCTTCAGGTAGCCTTTTTGTGTGTTTCCATGGAAATCGGATGTGGGGCGGGTGGCTGGTTCATTTCCCAGTTTAGAAAGCCTCTTGGCCCTCACACTGTGAGGCTGTGTATCTCGTCCACACAGAATGTCTTGCTAGCTTTTAAGAAGTCTGTTTTTCAAGATGCATTCTAAGATCTGCAGAGGGAACCACTGAAATCTCTTTTATTTGCACTGTTTTTGTGACCCTTACACGGATGTAATTGTTTTTGGCATCCTTCTCAAACACTTGAATGTCTCTTCCAAGTATTTGGCACAATGGGAAGGTATATTTCTCCGCTCCCCTCACTGGTTTTCATTGGGTTTCCAGGAGCAGATACAGAGTCTGTGCTGCATGGCCGCGTCTGGAGAGCTCTCATCTTGGCTTTGTTTATCCTGTGCCCCTTCTCCCAGGGCCCTCCCACCTGTGCAGGGCGGAGAAGCTCCGGGTCCCAAGCAGTTGCTCCAGGAACACCAGGGTTGGGTGGTACGACTCCATTACACAGACCCAAGTGCCCCCGGACATGCACGGTGCAGATTCTGACCTCCGACTTTAGATGGTTTCTGAAGTAGAACTTTGGGTGATATCCAGACATGACTCTCACTGGCTCTCTGTGACACTGAAGCCTCTGGGAGAATAGAGTCAGCAGCTGTTAACCCACAGCCCTTGGGAACAGAGAAGTTCATGAACAAACAACCTTTTTCACCTCCGGATAAACTCGGTGTGAGTTATTTTCAGCTTTACAGGTTCCCCAGGTTTTTCATCTTTGTGGCAGTCTTGTCGCTCTGGGAGGACCGAGGCATTGGTTGGGGGTACAAGTGGGCATATTTATGGCTTCTTGTTCATAGTCCTCTGCCTGTTCTGAATGGTACAAAAATAGTGATTAAAAAACCACAGAAAATTACCAGGTTGAAAATCTAAAACCCTGCCCTCCACGAATGCTGTCCACACTTCACTTCACTGTGTTCACTAGCTGGACTCACTGAGCTTATAACAGATGTCTTAAGCAGAAAGATGAATAAAAGCAGAGGTTATCTTCCTTTTCTTTTGTAAAAACTCATCCACATATTCACATGTGAAATTCAGTGACGAGCTGATGAAAATAGTGAATGTGGAACTCATGTGTGTGCAGCTGCAAATACCGGCTCCCCTGTGCAGCAGGCCTGGTCCCAGAGGGGTGGAGCAGGGAGCATCCCGAGCAGGGCTGCTGGGCGCTGAGGGGTTTGAGGGGCTTCTGATCCTCCAGTCTCCAGGACAGACCTCAGCAGTGGCCCCCTATCCCCCACCCAGATGGCCACAGGCATGCGGTGGTCTCCTGACTCCTCCCTCCACAGCCTCCCCACTGCACGCCTTGGCCACCCTCCGTCCAGCGGTCTTGTGAAAACCCAGACACCTCCTGTCATCCCAACACTCTGGGAGGCTGAGGCAGGGGGATCACAGGTTTGAGCCCAGCCCGGGCAACTTAGCCAGACCCTGTCTGAAAATAAAAAATGAAGAAAGGGTGGGGATGTTGTTCACTGTGCAGATCCTGGATTCAGTCCCAAGCACTGAAATAGAAGAAGCAAAATTCAAAACCAAAAACCATACACCTGATTATATCAGGTCTCTGTTTCCCTCTCCTCCTCCAATCTTCCCATGGCATCTCCCTGTTTGTTTACTAAGATCCGGGGCTGACCCTGCTTGCACAAAGCCCTGCAGGATCCGGGCCCAGCCAGTGCTCTGACTGCCCGCACTCCTGCTGGCCCTTGGGCCTGGGCTGCTCCTGGCCGGGCCCTGCCTCTAACCCTGCTCCTTCCACTCCTGCGGAAGCCTGCGGACCCCTGCACTACACCTTTCGTGTGTTTCTGCTCTCTGCTTAGCTGTTTCTTCCGAAGCCACCTTGCCTGAGTCCCTGACGGAAAAGCATCCTTCTCACACTTACATTAATTGCTGCTGTTCCCCTCACCTCACTGGCACCACCTGCCCTTGGGGATCCCTCTTGCTTGGTTGGCTTCTTTTACCCCTTCCCATGTTCTAGAATGGATCGAGGCCTTAGCACCAAGACCTTTTTCTGTTTCATTCATTTGTGCATCATAGGCCCAATAATGTGTCTCCAGACTTTGGTGGTCTCATTGATGAATAAAATCCTTAATTTGTGGATTTTGAGCTCACTAGAGGACAGGTGAAGGGGACATTTTAGTGGGGGACTGAGAAGTTGCCAACAGTGAGTGGAAAAGCAGGGCTTGTTCAGAAGGCAAGAGCAGGGCCAGGAGGAGGGAATGGTCAGCACGGGCCTTGTTGTCGCACGTGGCTGTGACGTCCACAGGCACAAAGCCTCAAGCTGCTTCTCCCTGCACTCCAGGGTGGGACTGTTGTTGGCATCGTGGTTGTGGCTTAGAAGTGGAGCCCAGTTAGCATGGGTTGAAAGTGAGTGTGTGAGAAACAGAAGTGGAGATGCTCACTTGCCAATTCGTCCGTGTTTTATGGATGGAAACCTGCGGTCAGCTGGGGTCATTGCTTGGAGACGGTTAGTAGTCTTAGTTACATGGGGATAGCATTGTGATGGCTCATGGCGGATTCCTTCCTCTCAGCTACTCTGAGTACAGCAGGTGGCAGAGCACTTGGGGTGGGCTCTGGGGGACCCTGGAGAGCAGGACCCCAGTCCCAGCTGTCATGCTCCTCAGGTGCATGCTAACCTTGAAGACAAACACTGAGAAGTTTACAGAGGCGCTGCATCCACCCACTGCCCGACCTTCACAGAATCATTTTACTGATCAAACTGTGCCCTTCCAGATTCCTGAACAATGTTGGGTTCTTCCTCCCGCTGATAATGATGCTGACTTGGATGGTGTCCGTGGCCAGCATGGTCCGAAAGCTGGTGTACGAGCGGGAGATTCAGCTGGAAGAGGTGAGGGTCTTGGCCTGGCCCAGGGGTGGTGGAAGTGGGCGAAGGCTCTGGAAGTACGCCCCTTGCATTGATGGCCAGCCTGTTCTGATCCCTGCCCTCTGCTGGCTCCTGGGGGTCACCCCAGTCCCTGGCTAATTTGCATAAACCCCAGGAAATGTAACATAGGCTTTTCACCTTAACTTATGGCTTTTAAGAATGAAAGCGGTGAAGGTGTCAGGGAAAGATGAGACTGTCCTCAGATTGCTGCAGAGCGGAGAAGCTGGGAGACCACAGGTGTGCGTTGTTTACCTGCCAAGTTTACAAGCAATCAGAAGGCTGAATTACTGTGTTGCGTGTGATTTACCTTTTTGCAGTATGTCTACTAGGGATGGCTGTTTCGTCCCTGCTCAGTTTTGGCTCCTGAGCTTTGGAGACTGAGGGTCTGTCCCACTGGCAGGCTCCTTACTGCCACTGGCCCACAGAGTGTGTGCCTAAGAGTTTGCTTTTTTTGGGGGGTGGTGGTGGTGCAGTGCTAGGGATTGAACGCAAGCCTTTGCACTGAGCTACATCCCCATCTGTTTTTTATTTTTAAATTGGAGACTGGGTCTCCATAAGTCACTGAGCTGCTCAGGCTGGATTTGAACTTGAAATCCTCCTGCCTCAGCCTCCCAGAGTGCTGGGATTACAGGCGTGCACAACTGTGCCCAGATCACTTTGTCCTCCTTATACACAGAATGAGCCCACACCCAAAGATGCCACAGTGTGGTGGGTAAGCAGGTGGTAGAGTTAGTGAAAGACTTAACTTTATTACTTCTACTAGGGTTATTTTGCAAAACACATTCTGAGTCTACTTAAATGACCCTCCACCCTGCAGAGCATAAGCACCAACATTTCCCTTCTTCATCCCTCTCTTTAGTAAGTAAGCCAACACAAACAAAATGAAGAACAGCACTGAAAACTATGGACCCCAGTAAACACGAAAGCACGGTGAGGCTGCCACTGTGCAGGCCAAGCCTGCGCTCTCAGCCACTGGCCTGCCCTTGCCTTCGTGTGTTCTCCCTGGGGATCATGCTCATGCCTCGGGGTGAACGGCCACTTGGGGAGGCGCTTGTGGCAGCCATACCCCTCTGGAGGGCAGCGTCCTCCCCAGTGACCACCCCACTGTCTGTCGCCTTCTCTCCCCTACCCGCTCCTCTTCCTGTGCCTCACAGTGATGACCCCGCTTTCCCGTACAGTACCTGCGAATGATGGGCGTGCATCCAGCCATCTACTTCCTGGCTTGGTTCCTGGAGAACATGGCCATGCTGAGCCTGAGCAGCGCCACCGTGGCCCTCATTCTGAAGACCAGTGGCATCTTCGCGCACAGCAACGCATTCGTCATCTTTCTCTTCCTCCTGGATTTTGGGGTGTCGGCCGTCATGCTGAGTTACTTCTTGAGTGTGTTTTTCAGTCAAGCTAACACCGCCGCCCTGTGCACCAGCCTGGCGTATCTCATCAGCTTCCTGCCCTACATAGTTCTGCTGGTCCTGAACAGCCAGCTCAGCTCTGCCAGCCAGATGTTTTTGGTAAGTGGGCAGCTCTGTAAAAATGCAAAATAGAGCAAAACGCCACTCGCTCATCCAAACAAGGCCACCTCCAGCAATGTGCTAATTTATCACTCTTAGATCTATGCGGGTTTTCTTATAGCTTTTTGTATTCTACCCACCAGTGCCAAAGTTGCAGTGGTAGCTCACTAAAAGTGCCGTGCTTCTGTGGGGTGGCCACCCATTAAAAAATCGCCATTTTTCATGTAACAGGTCTCTCTGAGGACTCTGGGAAATGAGTGACATCCTTCGGGAAGCATATAGCTCAAGTTTCTCCCTGTTTCATGCATGGAGAGAAGTAGATTTCTACAGCTATTTTAGAAGTAAAAAATAAGCATTTTTCTCGAAGCATCATGAATTACATCACATTAAGTGAAAAGATCTCTCCGTTAGCAATGTCAGAATTGCTCATCCATTTAGAATGTACCTCCCAAAAAAGCATGTGAATGTTTTTGGGTCTGCAGTATAAAATACAGAGAAGATAGAAGCTTGTTTTTCAATGGTGATTGTCTGGCAAACACAGTGCCTGACATAGAGCAAGAACAACCAGCACGAAATGGGGAGGATATCACCCCTGAGAGGATCGTCTTCGCAGTGTCAGCGACCGGTCCATGCATGTTCCATCAGTAGGCTCAGGGCTTCGGTTCCCGCAGTAGGTCACATGGTGTCTGGTGGGAGACACGATTCCTGGGGTTCCGAGTCTCCAGCCATTGGACTTGGACTCACAAGGCTGCCGAGGAGTTCCACAGGCCTTTAAAATTCCTGCAGTCCAAACATAATTCTTGACGGCCCTATTGTGTCACTTACGCATCGAGAGGGGCTCATCTTTTATGGTCCTTCGGAGCTGGAGAGTAAAATGTAGCTATGAAAGCCAAATTATTTTATTCAATTTCCACAAGTCACTCAGTGCCCTACCATGCACACACGAGAGATGTATGCATGCATAAAGGGGAGTAGTGATATTCACTTAGCATTTGGGCCACTGATAGGTGTTCATCAAGTTGAGTAGCCTATGTCACGTTTGCAGTAACTCATAACCAATGGCTTTGTGTTAGTATTAATTAGGTGTTTTCAAATAGTTAGCACACAAGGGGACCTTTTAGTGTCCTTCCTCAATAAGCTCTTTACACCCAGAGCCATTGGTGAGCTGGGCTGAATTTCAAATGCCATTATTTTTGCCTTTACTTTAATCCTCGCATTTAAAAGATCCATGCACACAGCAGTGATTTCCTTTGTGAATGTTCAGATGTTTTCTAGCAGTTGAAAAAAAGACACGTAAACCTGGCCTATTGTAGTTTTTAACAGTAAGATACTTTTCCATTGGCCTTTTCTTCCCCGACATAGGACTCTCCACTGCAGATAAAATACTGTTCCCTCCAGGCCACTCTCTTTCTCGTGTAGCATGGGACACACAGTGCATCAGTCTGCTTGCAGTGTGCTCTGGGGCATCCAGTTCACAATAAAGAATAGTAAATTGCTCTATTCCATTCTCCACTGTTCTGCATTACACATTTCTGTATACAGTGTTTTGGATTCATGACACTTCAAGCGCTGTGGTAAAGAGAAATAATTCCCTTCCACATTAAAAGCTAGCTTGTTAGTATGCATTTCAGAGGGGACTGACATTCCACAGCCTTCTGGCTCCGATATTTAAATTACTGCCCACAGCCATAGCTGGGCGTCCTCAGACCAGAAGTATGTGTCACGGTATCCCTTGCATTTGGCATTGTGGATTTTCTGCGGTCCTGATCAAACACTAACAGGCTGTTTTTCTCCTCCCTCCATCAATCTGTGATCAGTGCCTCCTCTCGACCACCGCCTTTGGACAAGGAGTGTTTTTCATTACGTTCCTGGAAGGACAAGAGGCAGGTGAGAGGGTGCAGTTTAGAAGGTGACTCCCAGGGATACAGGCTTTTGGAAATGTGAAGTTAGTCTGCAACACAAGTGAAACATTTGGAAGGAGATCCTGGTATTTGGTTTCCCTGATGTTGCCCTGGTTTTGAGAACCAGCGAGAACAATCCCGGCATCTGTTGCTGCAGACAGTGTCCAGGCCATTGACCTCACTCATGCTTGGCTCTTCCTTATGCCACCCCGATGTAAGGTCAGCTAGCGACCTCTGAATTCCTCCAATAATGGGGGCGTACACCCATTGCATTTGTTAGTGCTGCTGAGTAGGGATGTGGATCTGCTCCCCACTCCTTCCCTCTCGATCCTTCCTTCACAAGGCAGCCACTTGCACAATGCATTTGTCAGCTCTTTCGTTGGACCCTAGATCCAGCCTGTATAGAATGGAGCACGACAATCTTTTCTGATTTTCTCTTTGTATTGTATCCATGTTAATGGAGCCTAAAGAGATTTTTAAAAATGTCCTTGGCAGAGTTTTTCACTTATATTGAGATTTTGACAACTAAACTCCTAAGCAGAACAGATGTATATTTCTTAAGTTGTTTTATGGCTTTGGGGTGTGTTTTTATAAACAAAGGCAAAATATGTGCCATAAGTAAAACTCAGTTCTATTATTATATTGGCCAGCTATTTGGCAGTGTTCTTAGATTTTATGTGCTGTGTGTTAAAATATCTTTAACAGATGAGTAGTCTTGACTGAGTTCTTCTGTATTTCTCAGACTACACTGTAAAGTAAACTGGATCAAGACAATGCAGAAGAAAAACGGTCACTCTCAGACCATTTGAATATTTTGGTCCAAATTCCACCAAGTACACCTTGATCAAAATATGTATTTTTATTGAGTTCTACCTTAGTACCCTAGGGAAATTTAGAAAGAGGAATGGTTTTCTTAACTTATACTTTGGTTGAGAAATAAATTGTAAAGAAATAATGATTCTTTCTTACCATAGATCTTCTATATCTTACATAGTTTTCACGAGTGGAAAGAATTTATAATATAGAATGTGGGATCTTAACGAGACTTTTATTTAAAAATGCTTATTTTTCCTAAATATGAATTTCCTGTTAATAAGTGTATGAAATTAGATGTAAGTAAAGCATCTTTTAAATGTTTAAATGTTGTCTTGCACTGAGACTGATGGAATTGGTAAGATCACGCACGTGAACATTTCCTCTGCAGAATTACAGCTCATGGTGTTAACTTCCTGTGTTAGCATCAGTCAGTGTTCCTTAGGCTTTCAGGACTAATAAACTCCTGCACCATGAACAGCCAAAGAGGAAGTACAGCACTCATACTGACCTTTTCCTTCCTGTCAGGGATCCAGTGGAATAACATGTACCAGGCTCCGGAGCCAGGGAGCATGACATTTGGCTGGGTTTGCTGGATGATTCTGTTTGATTCAAGCCTTTATTTCTTATGTGGATGGTACCTGAGCAATTTGATTCCTGGTAAGAATTCCACACTTTATAAAATAACAGAATAAACTTTCCAAATAGTTTAATCCTCTATGCATGAATATTAGAATAATTATTTATTCTTCAAAGAAGACATCTGACAGAGAATTCTTAGGACATATTTGGGAAGGAGCTATGATTTTTTGAGATGCTTAGGGTGGAGTGTCAAATGGGTCGGCTTGGGCTCTGCCTGGGAAGTTGGTGGAGCACACTTCTGGATGTCTCTGGGTGGCTCATGGAGACATGGTCTTGAGGTCTATGTCTGGTTCCTCACCCTTCCTCTCTGGCACTGTTCCCCTGCTCTACTTCCCAGCCTCCCTAACCTAAGCAGCTTTGTTCCTCCACACCCTTCTGCCATGATGTTCCTGCCTTGGAGCCAGCTGTCCATGGACTGAATCCCCTGAAACCATGAGCCAAATTAAACCTCTGCTCTTTTAGATTATAGTGCCAAGTTTTGTATCTCAGGATGAAAAGCTTTCTAATGCACCAAGTGAAGGGTTAGCCAGGATGAAGGCTGGCCAAGTCCACCAAATGGTACACAACTAGTGGGCTTCTGTCAACCACACAGAAAGATTCCTGGCTCCAAGTTCAAGTGTATGAAGCAGGCAGGCATAAGGGGAGCAGGGGCAGGATAAGCTGGGGCCTGTGGTGCTATTGGGCCCCAGACAGCACAGGAGGTTGGCCAAGGGTCACCCGGGTGCAGACTCTGGACAGAGCTAGGCAGGGTACAAAGATGTGGAACTGGGTGACTGGGGATCAGGAGCCCCCTCCAAAGCCAGGACTGTCAGCAGTGGCACGAGTTAGGGCCTTCTCCACACATGTGACAGACGCACCCAGTAGGCTGGGAGACTGTACACCCAGCACAAGGCAGATCACTGATGATAGAGGATTTCCCCTTCTTGTCAGGAAGGGAAGAACCACTTGTGCACATTTAGGGTTGCACAAAAAAAGCAAAAATCTCATTTAAAACATTAAAATAAAATTTTAGGAATTGAATTTTGATGGTATTATATTTTCTTATCAAATTTTCTCATGACTCTGCCAGTATACTTTCTTACCTTTAAAATTAAGAGCTGTGAAAAGAAATTCTTATATACAAACGAAAGCAGAGCAATAGAAGAAAAAGGCCAGTTCATTCTGTCTGTAAAAACGTCATCAGGACTGGGTGAGCTCAGGCATCCCCGAAGGGTGGAGCTCTGGTTGAGATCTAGGTGCCCACTGAGAGCCTCAGTACTCATACGGGGGGCTTTGAAAAGGTAACTGACTTGTGGGGGGACTGTGGCTAAATGTGCTGTTAGGAGACGGGGCCTGGCCAGAAGAGGCGGTCACTGGTTGTGATCTGGAGGGGTGCATCTCCCTCCCTGGCTCCTCCCTTCTCTATCTTCCTGGCCTCCATGAAGTGAGCAGCTCTCCTCCACCAGGGCCCTGTACTACGCTGTCCTGCCTTGGAGCCAGCTGACCGTGGACTGAAACTGTGAGCCTAAATAAACCTCTGCTCCTTTAGGTGTGGTTGTGGGTGTGGGATGTTGTGACTCAGTGACAAGGAGAGTGACTAAGACAGCTGGGCACACAGGGAAACAACATGGTTTTATTGAGAAGATTATTTCCCAGAAATGTAGGAGAATATGAACCAAAGAGGTGGAGAGGTATCTGAATGTACAAGGGTGACGTCAGGTTCTTCCGGGACAAGAAAAGAATCCCACAAGCACAGATAGCAGCACACGCAGCTGTCCTCAGCTGTGGCGAGGCAGGAGAGGTGTGTCCAGGAGCCTGAGCTCCCTCTGCCATCAGGACCTGAGGCGTGAGGAGTCTGGGTGAGTTTTTAACACACTGTCGTAAAATAAAGGGACTCTGTTCAGTTGGGTTTCCCTTCAGATCCTGCTGAAACTCTGCTGCATTAGATCCGAGTCCTGTGTGAGCAGACCCCATGCCCAGTAGGAGGGAGAGGAGTCAGGGCAGGGCAGAGGTGCCTTTGTCTAACCTTCTGGGCACTTCCAGGGGAGGGCACCCAGGTAAAACACAGTTCTGGAAAGAGAAGAAGGGAGACAGAGAGAGGGGAAGAAAGGAAGAGGACAGAGAAAGACAGCACAGAGACACATCAGAGACAGCTGTCCTGACTTCCAACTCCACATCCTTTTGCAGCTTGACCAGCTGGATTTGCGCAAAAGGGAGCAGAGGAAGTGGGCACTGGGGTCTGTCACTGTGACCTTGGGGATTACTGTTCTTTATGGTGGTGCAATCCTGCGTGCTTGTCTTTCGGGGAGACACTGACACTGGGGAGCAGGGTGGAGAAGGGCAAAGGCACACACCAGGGATGATTATCAGGGTCACCGAAGTTTCCTGCCTCACAGTGCTGGGCCCTGGGAAGCTGCTCCTGGCATCCTGTGTGCTCTCAGCACATCAGGGAGGTAGGTGCCCAGGGGCCTGGCCGATGCTGAGAGGGAAGCTCCAGCTACAGCAGAAGGAAGAGAACAAACAAGACCAATAGAGCTATAGGAGGAGACAGAACCATCATTCTATATAAGAGAATCAGCTACAAAAATGGGGCGAGCAATCAATCACACAACTCATCAGAGGTGCACAAAGGCAGGAGCATCGCTGTCTTGTCGGCAAAGAACACAGAACAACGGGCAAGGAAATCCACTCTGGTAGCTGAAGAGCACCCTGCGTGAGTCCAGTGAGGAAGAGACCGTGTATCTAATAAGAAAAAGGGAAATGTTGGTGATCATAGTTTGGAGTGGGATAAATGAAAAGCTGTTGAGTTACTCAACAGAGATACTCGTTATTTTAAATGTGTCAATTTTCTCCAAATTAAAGTACAAATTTCTATAGTTTTAAATTATGTAATGGGTAATATGTAACATTATGATTTCATAAATCATCTAAGTGAAAGTGTCAAAGAGAGGAATTTATTTTTAATTGATAAAATGTTTGTAAAGGATAGCTAGAAATATAAAATAGTGATAATATATAAATATATAATATATAAATATAATATATAATATAAATATAAACATAAAATATATAAATCTAAATATGAATGAATAAATAATATAAATATATAATATAGTGATAATGAAGTATTGAAAATAATGATGGTGAATGGTGGCAACTGATGATTTATACAAAATCTTACTATAAATTGACATGGATTAAAACAGTGGAGTTCTTAGATAAAATAGATAAAAAGTGGGACAGATTAGAAAGCTCAGTACCCAGTCCAAGTGCATGTCATTTACTGTGTTAATGTTGGCAATTTTATTCAGTGGGGAAGAATATATCATTCTTCAATCAATTGGGGAGAAAAAAGTTATACTCTTACCCATAAATTCAGTGGAAATAAATAGTATTAAAATAATGAAGAGGGGTGTGAGTATAGCTCAGTGGTAGAACATATGTCTAGTGTGGATAATGCCCTGGTTCAATTCCCACACTACCATCAAAGAAAAAAGAAATCACACTAAAAAGATCGGAGAACTAGAGGAAGTTTAATTTTTGAAATAGATAAGGCCTTTCTAAACATAATGCCAAAGACATAAATAATAAAAACTCATAGATTTCCTTTATATTAATTTAAATCAGTTTTTCAAAATATCCAAATAAATGAAATTATAGGATACTTTACAAGCTTATAAAAAGCTTATTAACTGTGGGAAAGAAATGGTCAAATTTAAAAAGGATATATCAATAGAAATATCAGCAAATAACTTCAAAAATCATTGTTACAAAAAAGTTTGCTTAATAAATTTCTTAGAAGTCTTAATGCCTTACAAGATCATAAAAATGAATGTGCATAAAAGAAAACTTTTTCCTTCTGTGGCCTGGAAATATGATAAAAAGCGATTATAATCAGTGTAGAAATATATAGGAGGGAGGGAAAATGGCAATAATGCTGATTAACTGCTATCGTATGTATAAAAAAACTCTAAAATTTTTATTGTCCTCGATTCAAAAATGTAAGCTCGAAAGACGTGAACATTTATGTTTATTGCAGATTATTTGTAAAAGCAAAAGTCTGGGAAATGTTCATTTCTAAGAACAGTAGGTTGATTAGGTGACTTCTGTTATGAACAGCTTGGAGTGTTGTAAAATAGTATTCAGCCACTGAATTTCTGTTTTACAGGGGCAGATATTGGTGTGGAATAAGGGAGATCATGTGGTGCCGTGGGCCCAGGGCTTTCTGAAATAAGGCACATGGTACAACAACATCAAGCTAAATGTTTTTAGAAACACATCACTTGGGCTGGGTGCCAAAGTGTGTATGTGTAGTTCTCTATGTTTTTCTGTTTTCCATTTGTCTGCATTGAACATGCACATCTTTTGTTCAAATAAGCGATACAAACAGACTCTATGTCTTACTTCTTTTTTCAAAATGCCAAATGATTTAGTAAAAGAAAAAGGAACCAAAGTATGGGGTTGGGGCAGAGCGAACATCCACAGCACAGGAAGAGCATAGCTGGGCACAAACCAGCCTGATGCTGGCAGAAAGAACAGACCTTTCCAGTGGTGAGCAGCCCTTTATTTTCTCTGATCTGTAAGCGAACATGTGAGACATTTGACTTCTGGTCTTCCCGGAAGGGACTAAAGGACGGAACTGGAAATAAAATGTGCGTGTGTTCAAGCAGGCTGAGGAAATCCATCCTTCCTTCCTTCCTTCCTTCCTTCCTCCCTCCCTCCCTCCTCTTTCTCTCTCTCTCTCCCTCTCTTCCTTCCTTTCTTGTTCATGTGAAATAAGATCTACCCTCCTAGCAAATGGTTAGGTATAAAACACAGAGTTGGTAACTATAAGCAGGATGCTGTACAGCAGACATCTAGGGCTGCTTCCATCTGCATAACTGAAACTTTGTTCCTTTCAGTCAGTGTCTCCTGATTTCCCCTCCCTTTGGCCACTGGCATTTATCATCTCACTCTGCCAAGTCTGTTTGAGATTTCCCATATGAGTGGTATCAAGTAGTATTTGTCTTTCTGTATCTGATTGCACTTAATATAAGGTC